TCCAGCCTGTTTACACTGTATACACTGTCTGTCTGTCTGTCTGTCTGTCTGTCTGTCTGTCTGTCTGCCTGTCTGTCACTCAGTAGCGAGCTCAGTTACCAGATGAACTGCAGCAGCACTACACTTCACATTTGGCTGACCCTTGGGTAGTAGCCTAACACATCACAACATCTACATCATTCACCTCACTTCATCTGAGTCTGTAGACTTGGTACCTTGAACCTTCACACCATGACAAGAAGAGTGAGTGAAGTACGGTAAGAAAGTCTGAGAAAGCGACCACGTTTACAAATGAAAGCATACTGTTGTAATTGTTCTATTTCCTTATTATTGTTGTTCATCTCATACTGTGTCTCATTAATAAATTAAACTTAACAGAACACGTGTCCCTAGAGAGAAAAAACATAGCTCAATTGAGGTTGAGTACTATTTGTGGTGTCAAGCAGCCGGTGAGGGTCATGGGACAGCTGCCCTGTGGATTAGGGTGCTACTGTGTTCTCCTTCAGTATACCAAGGTCATTTGGTCATTTCCTAGTCTTCTAGTGTCTATCGCTGCTGCCAAAAAGTCAGCCGTCAATTTGTTGCCCTTTTGTTTCGACGTTACACTTTCTCTTCTGGTTTGGTGGGAAATTTTTGTTAGTGCTTTGTTCACAGTTCTTCTTCAATCATATCTACTCTGACGTTAAACTCCTCCATTATTTTTTTTTAATGTGTTTAGTACAGGGTCTCACTACACAGGTCAGACTCATAGTGATCCTCCTGTTTTCAGCCTCCTAAGCTCTGGGATTACAGGCACGCACCACCATGCCCAGTCTCAATTGCCGTCTCTTCACACCCTGCACCCCATGGGCAGGACCGGCTTGGCACGGCATGCCCAGGACCAAACCCAGTCCCTGTGTCTGTGTAACCAGGTGCTTTAATCCGCTGAACTATCTGGCTGGCCCTCCATTAAATTTTTATTATTTTATTTTTTTTAATTTTTAATTTTACATTTGATAGGTTTTTTCTAAAATTTCAGGCTTTTCTTTTCTAATCAGCTCGATCACACATAGATTTCTATTTCATGAAGACACTTGGAAGCATGTCCTTATAACACACGTCTGATCATTCCAACATTTGAGCTTTGCCAGGCTTACCTTTATTTATTGTCTTTGCTGTGTCACCCATGAAGCTGGCTCCTTTCTGAGACCATTTGTCTATAACAACATACTCAGCATTATTTTTCAAACAAAATTATAAGACTAATTCAAAGCCTACAGTGAAGATCCTTTCCTCACAACTCGCCCAGGGGACTTGCACTCACCCCCGCTGAGTGCCGAAGGGCACGACCACTAGGACCGCTATCAACCAAACCCAGGTCCTGGCGTTCCCTGGATGGCCCCAGTCAAGTGAAACCCAGAGCAAAAGCGCCTGGATTTCTCCTTAGCTAGTTCAGCTCCTGGTGAATGTACATGGTCTCCTGTTAGACTAACGGGTCTCTGAGCCTCTGTCTCTGTCCCCTTGTCCTCTGTTCCTTTCCTGAACTTCCACCCTCCCTGAGGACATCAGGAGCTTTGTGCTTCCTACCTCCTGGGCTGCTTCTAAGCCCCACACACTGGCCAGGACTTCTTGTACCCTTGTCATCTCTAGTGCCTTCACAACCCTTGTTATATTTTCTCCAGCCTTTTGATTTGTTTTCAAATGAAGAGCTCCCCTAGTGACTTAGGTACGCCATTACTGGAAGATGAAAGCACTCACATCCCGTTTTAAAATAGATCCATTAAGATATATCTAAAGGGGCATAGCTAAGTAGTAAAACACTCACCTGGCATCTATGATACCCTGAGTTCAATCTCCAGTGCTGAAAAAAAAAGGACATTATTTACATTTATAATTTATCCATTTAAAGTGAATAACTCAATGATTTGGATATATGACTTTATTAATTCTTTCATTATGGCAAAAAAAATCATCATTTCTACCACACTTCAGGGCACAACTCCATGGCATGAACTATATTTACAGTATCGCGCAATTGTCAGCACTATCCAATTCCGAGACTCTCTCATCATTCTAAAGGGAAACCAGTAGTCACCAAGCACTGACTCCCAAGAGCGACCCTCTGTGCAGCTGACCGTGCACACGCTGATCCTGTGGCCCTAACGCTCCATCCCTGCCACCCCGGGGAACCTCTAACCACTCTCTGTCTTCATCAGTTGGCCTAGACGTTTCACACAGGGCAGTTGCACACTCTTCTCCTTTAGGGATCTGGATTCTTTCCCGCGGCCTTGTTTTCAAGGCTAGTTCACGCTGACGCATGGACCAGAATTGCCACGTGCCGGCTGGATGCTATTCTCGTGTATGTACACATCACGCTTTGTGTGTTTGTGCATCTGCTCGCGGACACCTGGGTTATTTCCACCTTTGGGCTGCTGGAAGTCATACTGCCATCAATCCTGGTGTGGACACCTGAATCAGCCCTGGGGATCTGCACATTCCACATCCTGGGGCTCAAGCTATTTTTCCAAAAGTATGTGTGCGCCAAATATTCACAGACTTTTATCCTGTCAGTATTCCTTAAACTACACCAAATCACAACTGTATCCGTAGCACTGGCATTGTGCTGGAATATTCTACGTCATCTCAGGGTCAAACGCGCACACAGGAAGATGTGTGAAAGTTATTTATGTGAACTGTGCCATTTTATGTAAGGGACGTGAGCAGCCTTGAATTTGGATAGCTGAGAGAGGTCCTAAAACCAACCTCTGATGATACTGAGGGACAACAGTGTCTGCTCAAGTCCCTTCCATGATTTGGGGTACAAGCCCAAATGGGAGATTGCTGGGCTATGCTGCAACATTGTGCTCTTCTTCCTAGCAGCTGCGCTGAAGCTTTCCACAGATGCTGCCCCGGTAGGTCCCCACCAGCAGCATCCAAGCACTGCAGCTTCTCCACAGCCTCTCTAGCACTTGCTATCTGTCATCCTGTGGCCTGTGGACATCCTAGTAGGTGCTGTAGCTTCAATTTGCACTTCCCGGATGACTGATGGTGCTGAGCCTCTGTTCATAAGCCTCTCAGCCATTGGTGGCCTGTTTTGAGGAAAATGCTTGTTTAAGCCCTTAGTTCCTTTCCCAATTGGCTCATTTGTCCTTTTGTTGCTGGGCCGTAGCTCCCTTCCTCTGCCATAGCAATGAAGCTGTTCTTGTCTAGGTCACCAAGAGATTCACCCTGCCAAGTCTAATGGTCTTTCCCTGTGCCTCCTCATGCAGCCTGTCAGCAGACTTGGTCAGCCAGCACCCTTCTCTCCTGGAAGCCTTCTGCTCTGGCCCCCAGGCTCCTGGCTCACACTACCCTCTCCTCTACTGGCTCCCTCGCCTCCCTGGTTTCTGAGCCCTGGGACAGCAGGGTCGCCCTCAGACTTCATCATCAGCTCTACTCATTTCCACGGGGTTGCATCCATTCCAGGGTTTGAAGACTCCCCCAAGTGCTGAAACCATACAGTGTTCACATCTAGGCTCAACCCCCTATACCCCAGTCTGAAATGACTACCAGCACTTCACACTGAGTAGCCCCAGGCCACACCCATCACAGGGACACCTTCAGGCCACACTCTCACTACAAGTACATTCCCAGGCCACTCCCAACCCTCTAGAACCCACACCTCCCACAGCCCCCAGGCATACCTAGCCACAATTCTAAAGTCACCCTGACTCCTTCCCCACATCACTGCCCACCCCACTCCTGGAAGTCAGCAGCTCTTACACAAAGTGTCCTGCCCATACTCACCAGAGTAAGACTATTACACCAGCATAAGCACAGGCTGCCAGAGGGAGACTGTTGAGCAGGTCACCACACAGAATCATGGCTCACCTTCATCAGAACTCTCCAACAGTCCATCTAACAGTCAACCCAAAACCTATGCCATAGCCAACAAGGTCAAGACTTCTGTCCTCTCCTGCTCCCATGCCCTACACCCCAAGACACCAGCCTCCTTTTCTGTCCACGGCCACACAGATGTGCAACCATCTTGGGTTGTTTGTCCCTGGGCCTGTGAGTGGCCAGCCCTCTCCTGCCATCCCCACCCAAGAGGCCAGGGACTTTGCTGATTTTTTTTTTCACTAAACAAAATATGAATTTGACAAGATCTGTTGTATTGTGTTGTCTCCCAATTAGTTGTTTAGGTTACCAGATATATGCATGCAAAATTGGGGGAAGGAAGTTATAAGAAATTAAGAAGAGGAAGGGGGAAAAATAAGACCTTGCTAATTTTGCAAATTTTGATTTTGCCCTGACTCAGTCCCCTAGGACATGCAGGCCAGATGCCATGTGACACAACTGTGCAAACTGAGGAACAGGACCCCTCATGGGCCTATAGAAATAGGCACTCAAGCTTAGCAAGGATGCCCTCGTGCTAGCCTTGCGAGCCAGTTGCTACCTCTATGCACACTGAGGCCCAGAGGGGCTGAGTGACTTGTACGTGGACACAGACAGGTTCCACTCCTTCCAGGCAGTGGCCACACTTACAGTCTCCTGGAGTCCTATCAGCTGGTGTGCCCACCCAGCAGGGCCAGCTAGGATGGCAGAAGCCTTCCCGGGGACTTCAGGACACTGGGTCTGTCCTGATGCTTGGGGTGGACTCTTTCTGTCATCCTGCTATGCTCCCCCCCAAGGTGCCCCACGGAGCCCCTTCATCCAACACAGGCCTGACAACCACCAAGGACAGGAAATAAAGAGTCGCTGTGGTCACTGATGGCTTGAGGCAGCCCTGATGTTACCTTCCTCCCCAAGCCTTACAGGACATGGTCCTCACACCGGCTAGCCCAGGCTGCCATTCCCAGGCAAGATCTTGATCAGGGTCAGCCTTCTCTCTCCAGACCATGCTTTAAAATCAGCAGGAGATCACCCCACCAATGGCAACACTGTGCAGGCATCAGGGTCAATTCCTCCCTCCTCCCTGGGCATTGTCCCTAGAGCCAAGCCCTTGTCACCACAAAACCCTTATGGCCCCTCTCTGTCCACAGCCATGCCTTATGCCTCTGGAAGGCCCTGGGGGCTGAGTACTCCACCAGCCGCCTGGTGCTGGCTGTGCTGCTGGCCTGGCTGCAGGAGCGTCCTCTGTTCACCAGACCTGGCAACGGCAGTCTCCCCTCCAAGGAGAAGACATACTTGCACTCTCTGGCCGTGAGTCTGTCCCCCCAAGCTGGCTTCCTGAGTGCCTTCAGTCAGTGTCCAGGTTGTGGGAAGGGAGAACCCCACTTCAAGGCCACAGAAGGGCAACACAGTCCTGGTTAGGAAGACAAGTGTCTCAGGCACCGTGGCCCAGGAATTGACCTACAACTCCAGCTGCAGGCCCAGCTCCCCACTGCCCAGCCCAAGATTCTAAATCTTTGTGAGTCAGGACAGAAATATTCTTGCAAGTGGAAAAGAGGACTTGACCTTCAGTGTGCATCTGGCCTGGCACTCGCTGCGCAGAATGGCTTCAGAGAGAGAGGGCCCAGGCAGAGTTCAACCAGAGGGGAAGGGCATGGAGACCCCAGGATCCACCAAGCCATATCGCGTCTCTAGGGAGCAGTGGATGCTGGAGGACTTCTAAAGGCTGCCCCCTGCTGTCCTCCACCTGTGGAAATCCCTTCCAGCTTGCCCCTAAGCCTGTAAGTCAAGGCAAGTTTGCACCACCAGGGACAGAGGATTCACATCCTAAGGCAACCTCTTTTGTCCCCCAAGGCTGGATTCCAGTGAGGAAGCAGTCTGTGCCTCCAATCCTGTCCAGGATACCACCAAAGCAGAGTTGTAGCCCCAAAAGTCCCTGAGACACAGCTCAGAGCAGACAACTCCGTTCCTCCCCCAGACAGGCAACTGCCCCCATCAGGGCTTGCTGACCACCACACACAGCAGCAGGAGGGAGACCCCGGCCTAGCCCATGCCTAGCACTCATCAGCCCTATTTCCCTGTCCATCCCAGCCCTTAGCTGATACACCAAAGCCAAGCAGCAGCCTTCAGGAGGCCACAGAGCAGTGTGGGGTCAGACCCATAGGCGAGGTCACAGCAAGGCAGCCCTCCCTGCATTCCATGTGCCCCACCCCTCCCTTCACCCTTCATCATCCACATTTGGTACTGTCTCCCAGCCAGAGCATTCTAGACCAAATCCTCTTTCAGGCATGGCAGGCCTTGGGGCCTGGGACTGCTTCATAGACTCTGCCTCCAAGGGCCATTTGTCCCCAACTCAGATGTGTTAAACCCCTGCTCTGTGCAGTCACCACACAGCACAAGACTTCACCTTCAGGGCCAGAACCCAAGCTCATGACCCTCAGACAGTCACTAAGGACAGATGCCCAGTGGCAGAGTCCAAGGATGTCAGGGAGGTGGCACTGGGCCATGCAGGGAGGGCTGAGGGTGTTGGCAGGTGGCATCCCGACAGACAGTGGAGAAAGCACCAGCTTTTGAGAAGCAAGTACCCTGAGCAGCGGGTTCAACGAGCTCACAGACAGGCCAGGATAAGGCTGTACAGCTGGCAGGGCCTGACCGCAGGAGAGCACTTGGTCGTGGAAGTGTTTAAGAAGAGAGTGGGAGGCATGATGCGACATGGCTTTGGTGCAGGACCTCTGGCCCAGGAGCCCAGGGCTTAGAAGCTTTATTCTCTCCTCCCCTGACAGGCCATGAACACACTGCATGAGCTGCAGTTCATGCAAGAGTTCGAGAAGGTCATCCAGGAGGCCTACCCGCAGCTCCTGCTGGCTCTCCTCACCCAGGTGCACTATGTGCTGGAACTGAACCTGCCCAAAGCTAAGTCCCTGCCCAGGCAGCAGGCCCAGAAGGCAGCACTGCCCAGCCCCGAGAGGTAAGCACAGGACCTCTCGGCCTTCTAGCCAGCCAGCAGGAATGCCCAGGGCAAGTCAAGTTGCAGCTTCATCTAGCTGAAGAACCAGGTACCACACACTCGGAGACTTAAACGGCAAGTGTGTGCTGTCCCACGGTTCCTGAGGCCACAAATCAAAGTGTACTCAGGCAGTGCTCCTCTGAAAGCCATGGGGAACAAGTCTTCTTATTCTTCCAGCTCCCGGTGGCTCCAGGCAACCCTTGGTGACTTGTGGCTTCAAACCCTATAACTCTGATCTGTGCCTCTGCTGTCACATGGCATTGTCCACTGTGCCTGGGTCTGAGATCACCCTTCTTAAAAGGACACTGGTCCATCAAAATAGGGCCAACTTAATGGCCTCCTTCTAACTCAGTCACATCTGTGAAGACTTCAAGTAAGGTCACATTCACAGGTCCTGGGTTATGCTTCTAATGCATCCTTCTCTGGGGAGACACACACACCCCACCACAGCCAGAGCCTCAAACACCAACCTCGGCCACATGGCCTCGTGCCAACATGGACAGCCCTGTAGGCAGCCAGCATCCTGTTTTCTCATCAGCTGTTGACTGCTCCTTACCTCTTAGCCTCCTTGCAAGACTTCTGGATCGAAGCATCATCTCACCCATTTTACAGATAGTATCATCTTGCCCTTGCTCCCAGCTCCCCAGAGGTTAGATGCCCTCCCAGCCCCCTTTGGGCACTTCAGAGGCCTTGGCACATTTTTGTGCCATGTTGCTGGAGGTGCCGGCCCCTTCCCTCTGTGCCTGATGAGGGCGAGCAGGCATGAATGGGAGAGACCATGTCATCCTCCTGGTCACAGTAGGGCTGCCTGCCTTGGGCTTCCCTCTGCACCTACCCACATGTCCAGAAATCCAGTAAGCAAGTCTGAAAACCACCAGGGCCACTCTTGTCACGTGTCTGCATTACAATGTGCTTCATGCAACCTGTCAGTTTGAATAGGTCTCCCCAAAGCACGTCATTAAAAGAAAAATGTCCTCCTCCTCATATTGTCTGAGTTCCCATGTAGCTAAATTTCCTTTTTTATTCAGATCAAACATACAGAATCCATGAATCTTCCATAACAAGCTAATAAAACCCTCTCCTCCAGGAGCATGGGAGGGTTGGGAGGAAGCTATAGCTGCTCATCACTCTCTTCTCCCTGTACCCCACACTGTACCTCTGGGCCACCTGGGCCAGTCCCCTCCAGCCATCCTCTATAAGTAGCAGCCCTTCCCTGGGCCCACCTGACACCCAATATCCGTGCCTGCTTTCCTGGTTTACTGCCTGCACCTCGGGAATAAACGGTCCTTCAGGGCAAGGATATCAGTCAAGCCAGGCTTCCATGCACACTAGGGCATTTCTTTCCTAGAATACCCCCAAACTAATGTCTTGGCCACAGGGGCATTAGAGGTTTGGTTGGCCCAACCTGGCACTCATGCCCTCCTGGAGCTGGACAGGGGCCTGGGTATCCCTCCCCCAAAGGGAAATTCCCAGGCCAGGACCATCTGGAGGAGCCTAGGCATGAGATGGGCCAACCAGCAGCCACATCAGCAAGGACAGTGAGTAGTGAGGGATGGCAGAGAGGCTGAGGACCTCTCTGGGCCTCAAGAGTAGGTGGCACCAACCAGTGTATCATGGTCCCGGACCTAACTCGTGTCCCAGGTGGACTGGTAGTGTTGGAGGGGACAGAGGGGCTGAGGAGAGGATCTGTTGAGTAGCTCTTTGACAGGGTGACCCAGCAGGATTGATTCAGGACAGCAGATGGCAGCCAGGTGAAGCATGAGGCAGGTGAGACTGGTCATGGGCCTCCACAGTTCCTCCTGCCTACTCAGCAGGGCCACCTTGGGCCCAGCACATGGGTCTTAGGTGAGGGCTACACCATGAGCACTGACCACACACACACACACACACACACACACACACACACACACACACCACTTCCCTGACCAGCAAAGATCCTCACTTTAAAGATGTAGACTCATGGGTCAGTTCTCAGCAGAGTCTCCCTCCCACCAGTGCATGTTCTGTCCCACGAAGGGCTTCCACTCCTCTCCTGTCATCACTGGAGTGACAAGTCCCTCCAGGCCCCTCATTCCCTATTTCAAACCTATGTCATCCTCATCTGCATGGCCTCCTTGGTGTCCCAGTGTTCCACTGGACCAAGGGGACAAAGGCTTCTGATAAAGAAGAGAAGCTTTCACCTATTAGGGTGGTTACAATTAGGAGAGTAGGCAGGAAGTAACCAGTGCTGGCAAGAGAAACCAGAGGTCCAAGGTCGGGAACGGAAACGGGCGCTGCTGCTGGGAAAGAGGGCACATGGCAATTTCTCAAAAAATTAAACACAGTAGCTTGGCATGCTGGCACCTGCTGACTGAAAGTTCTACCCCAACCCACGCAACTTAGCAGTGTAATGAGATGCTGTCTCACAAGAAAGAAAAAGCAAAGCCTGGAATGTAGCCTAGCATGATGACTGTGGGTTCAATCCCCATTGCCAGCAGAGGGAATGAAACCATAGTCTAATAGTCCAGCTTGTGATCCAGTAATCCCACCCCTGAGTTTATGCCTGACAGAATGAAAGCAGGAGCCCTAGATCCTAGAAAATTCTAGCTGCATAGCCGCATGTGTCACTATAAGGAGCCAACAAATGGAAAGCCCCCAGCTGCCCACCATGGACAAGCAGTGAAGAAACCAATCTGTACATGTGAGGGGATACTATGCAGCCCTAAAAAGGAAGGTGTCCTGGTGCACAAGGTAGCAGGGGCAAAGATGGAGGGCAGCAGTCAGAAGGTGAGTGCTGTAGGGCTCCACCCATGAGGTCCCTAAGGAAGTTGAATCCATAGAGACAGAGACATGGAAGGTGCCAGGGCTAGGGCAGGAAACTCAGAGTCCATTGCAGCTTGGGGTGAGTCTGAGAAAGTTCTGTGGGTGAATGAATGGTGGGCGTGGTTACGCAGCGCTGTCAATGTGCTCAACACTGCCAAGCTGTGCACCTAAAAACCATCGGAATGGTAAATTGTGTAAATGCATTTTGCCACAGCTAAAAACAAAAGTAAAACCAAGATGAAAGAAGAAGGGAAGGCATTTGGTATCTGGCCAGCCCTCGGGGAACACGTCACCACCTTAGTCCATTGAGATTTTGTTCCTTTCAGGGCAAGCAGAGCTCCTTGAGGCTGGGGTGGGTACCACTAGGATCCCAGAGTATTGAGAGACTGAAGGACAGCATGACCTTGTGGCCAGGAGGAGAGATGTATGTCCCCGGGCATTGCTAGGGGTCCTGGGCTGAGGAGGGCTGTAGGTTGTAGGTTGTAGGGAGCAGGGATCCAGAGGCAAGGATTCCCAGAAGTCAGCTAACAGCCACCTCCCTGGAAGTCCGATTGTGGCAAGAGGGTCAGCATAGTCACAAAAGATAAGCAATCACAAAGTCCAAGGTGCCCCAGAACCAAAATTTCCAGAGCCTGCAAGAGTGAACAAAATGTCCCATCTCCTCCAAGTCCTTGTCTCCTGAAAACCATCATCGTTTTGTGGCTGAGCCCAGTGACCTGGAAAATGTTGCCTCTTTTTAATGACACAGCTTGGGGCAAGATGACAAGCCAGCTGGCATTTGAATTGGCACCATCAGGGACTTTCAGAATGGCATTTTATCCTTTGACACTTGGTTTTGCAAATCTGCTCAGAAACATGCTGTCCAAGCTGAGCCCCGTTCCAGGGTGTGATTACACACCAGGTGACCACTCCTAGTGCCCAGGCAAGAGGTAGCCAGGAAGAGACAGGACAGCGCACCAGGCTATCCTACATTCCCATAACATCAACGTGCACCCAGGGACTGCAATCAGTGCCTGGGGCAGCCCTGTATCTGTTACAGTGATGTCACTGCATGAGTTTGGAGCCAAAGGCCTGGCTTGACTGTTTCTGCTGCCCTTGATCAGGCTGTGAGGCTCGGACAGGACACCTCACCTCTCTGGGATGCTCCCTCCTCTGTGAAGGAGGGCAGCAAGGGATGGTTACCTGAGGAGTTCAGGTGAGGCACCTGCTCACAGGTCTGCCCTGCACCCCGTAAGGCATTCCTCTTTACTGATGTACGGCATGCACCCTGGTCTTCCCTACCCTCTGCAGGCGCCAGAGTCCCAGAGCCTCTCAAGTGTCCACAGTGCCTCATGTCCTCTGAGTCCCACCCCACTGCCTAGACAGAAGGTCACTGTCCCCTCTGGGGATGCTCTAAGGACACAATCACAGGTGCCAAACCAAAATTGAGTCTCACTCCCCAAGAGCTGGCGTGCGCGCCTGCACACACACACACACACACACACACACAGACAGGACCCCAGCCCATCTCCAGCTGCCACACTAGAGGGTCTCTGTGAAGAAGAAGGCAGGTCCAGGCAAGTGTCACAGAGGTCTTGATAGTGGCTGCAGTCAGGACAGGAGCCAGCATGCCTTTCCACGTGGGGAGGTGCGCCCTCCCAGGAGCAGGGGCGGCCTGGATGACCACTGTGGATCTGGGCAGCCCCTGACTCCTCTACTTGGCCACAGCTCATCCCTGGAAGCTCTGAAAAGCCTGCTGTCCACCACAGGGCACTGGCATGACTTTGCCTACCTGGAGCTGCAGAGCGCCTGGAAACACTTCTCCTCCATTGGCACCTACGCACAGGGTGTGGTCCTCCTGGCCAGGTACCAGTGTGCGGGTAGGGAAGAAGTCCCTGCTGCAGGCTGCCACCACCCCCAGGGCTGAATGTACCATTCAGAGTGACAGAGTCTGGGTATTCTAGAACCACTTGGGAATCCAAGGGGTCCCGCTCACAGGCAGGCTCTGGGGACCCCAACTGTATGCACAGAGGCCCTAGGGCACCATGGGAATGTGCTTGCTGCCCTAGTCACAGGCATGCCTGTTGATGCTGGCATCTCCTCAGCCCCTACCTGGCCTGAGACCTCCTGAGGGACAAGGGCTGTCAGTGTTATTTCTTGGCCTCCTCCATCCCAGCCCAAGTTGGCACAGATTGGACACTGGGCTACAAGAGGAGTGAGATGGGCTCACAGAGATGTATGCCCACCACATCAGAATGCTCACCCACATCGGGACCCTCCTGGCCACAGACATCCCTAGCCCAGGCACTGGCAGGAAGGTAGTAGACTTGGGAAATGACAACAGCCTAGGCCCTGTCCCCTAGGGCCATGGTGCAGAACAACTGCGAGAAGATTAAGGCCGTACTTGGCCAGCTGCTGCCCAGCCTGCAGAGCCAAGAGGAGCGTGAGAGGAAGGTGGCCATCCTCATCCTCACGGAGGTAGGAGCAAGGCTGCAGGTTGGGGATCCTGCCTGTCTACACCCTGAAAATGCTCCTGGACACCTGAAGGAGTCCCATATGCTAATGTTAGCCTCAGCCTGCCCCAGTGGGACTCCAGGTCCTTGCCTGGGTTTATAAAAGTGCAGGACTCAGAAAGACGTTGGATGTGGCCAGCTCTGGAGCCATGGGCTCTGAGCCAAGCTGGGGGCAGGGGACAATTTTCTATGATGGACAACAGGTAATCTGAGGCCTTTAACCCAAGTCAAAACCAACAGTGGGCTCCCACCCCACCAGTAGGAGAGTCTGGGGCACTTGTGCCCCTGTCCCTATGTGTCCACCCAGACGCTGATGTCCTGAGAGGACGCTGAACCTGACCTGTGTGATCCACCCCCAGTTCCTCTACAGCCCTGCCCTGCTGGAGGTCTTTCCAAGTCAGACTGCCAGGACTCTGCTGGCAAAAGGTCTCTGCGACACCAGCCCAGAGGTGCGTGTGTCCAGCCTGCAGGCCCTCGGAAACATCCTCTTCCACCCAGAGAAGGTGAGGGATGGCAGATGCCATAGCTTCAGGCACTGGAGAAGGAAAGGCCCACCAGGTGGGGCCCTGGCTCTGTCCTTTCAGGCTCTGTCCCTTCAGTAGATTGACTTCAAACCATCTCTCCTCATCTGCAGACAGGGACAGGCTGTGGGAAGGTTGGCAGTGTCCCTTCCCCAGTAACAATGTCTATTGTACACCAGGAGGAGACGAATCTACTGCAGATCTCAGGTGCCCTCTGAGGAAGTGCCCAAGCCTGTCCAGAGAAAACTGCCCCAGAGAAACTAGTGGGTGGGCTCCCCCAACTAGCAGTTGACATATCTTCTGTACTCCATGCAACACTGCCCCATCACCATAGCAACCTGCATCCCTAATAAATAACTGGTAGAAGGTCTGTAGATTGACTTAGGGAGGTCCCCAGCTCAGGCCATAGAATTCCTGACATCCTGTTCTGAGAGTTTCCAAGGTACTGTGCATGGTTAGGTGTCAAGATGTAGACCAGTCTCCACTCCATTTCATTCCAGCTGGCTCTCAGTACTTCCTTCAGCCCTTGGGTCTCAGGGCCTCCGTCCATAAAAGGGGCAAGGGAACAGGACTGCAGAGACCAGTGCCGGGCCTCAGACGGCCCTCGAGCCACGGTCAGCCCTGGAGCCACTGGCTGCCGCACACAGCAGCAATGCCTCTGATGTTGACACCCTACCTGGGCCCAGCCAGTGGTACCATCATACAATACAAACACTGAGCTGGATAGAGGTGTTTCCAGGTGGTCAGGAAGGTCAAGGCCTTCAGCCCCCCTGGGGGCTGTGTTAGGGTCCCACAGGGAGGTGCAGCCCCGTCTGCTGCAGGTGGAGAAGGATGCTGTGAGGAGCTTGTAGGAACAAATGAGACCATTGGAAGGCCACAGAAGGGATGGTTTCCAAAGAGTTCCTAAAACCATTTTACTGTCAGCCTACCCCACCAATTCTGTTGAACCTAGAGGTCTCCATGTGGTTAGCGAGAGATCCCCATTCAATCACCAAAGCCCTGTGCACTGCCTGTGACTCATGGGAGCTTCATGATGGGAAAGGGAGCCTCCCTATCACTTGCCCATCTAGCTCATCCACTCAGGCAGCAATGCCTCTGTCCATCCATCCATCATCCACCCATCCACCCATCTGCCTATCTAGCCATCCCTGTACCCATCCACCCATCCACCCTCCCATCCAGCACCTACACATTTATCCATTCACCCACACACCCACGTTTGCTCTTAGAATTTTTCATTTGACTCATTGCCCCATGATTTCATTTATTCACTCCTTTTATATTCATTCACCCAATCATTTGTTCCTTCATCCATTCAGTTACCTCTGTGCTTTCTCCAGCTGTTCTCCCAGACTCATGGCCATAGTTTCCATGCATCTCCTGCACACCCTGCACTGACTGGGGTCCTGTGGGGAATGGAGAAGGCAGGCAAGGGCCTGCTGGACCAGGAAGGCTTGGTATGAAGAAGAGGTTGTAGGGGCTGGAGAGATGGCTCAGTGGTCTAAAGCACCTACTTGTAAACAAGCTTGGCAAAGCACAGGGACCTCGGTTCGATCCCCCAGCACCACATGCCAGCCAGCCCCGCCCCCTAGTGGGCTGAGCTGGCCACACACAAACACACACACACAATAAATAAATGTAATAAATAAAAAAAATAAATATTAAAAAAAAAGAAGAGGTTGTAGTTCTCTGCCCATCCCTGAGGTATGAGCCAGAGGGAACAGACAGACCCCTGAGCACCTGGGCAGGGAAGACTATCGGGGCAGGGACATGTGGGCTGACATGACAGGACAAAGTAGGCCAGCCCACCTGAGCACAGGACAGCATATCATGCTGTTCAGCTTCTTTTCTGCCCATCCCATGAGAATCCCCTCCTGCCAGTGCTGCCCATAGCAGGAACCTGGTCCTGGCACACTAGCTCTTACAGACAGGCAGGAAGTGTGCAGTGCTGTCATATGACTCACTTGGGGGAAACAAACTTAATATTTTTAAATGAAATGGAGCTTAGGAAGCCAACAAAATCTGCTTCAAACTTATTTAAAAGTTTAAAAAATTTTAAAAAAAACCCAACCTGGCTTGCACACAAGGAGCCAATGACAGGAAACAGCCGCACTGCTTCCCGACGATGCACCTGAGGATTCCGGAAGGCAGTGCAAACAAAGGGGCAGCCAAACTGGCTGGGAATAAATTGGAAATGCACGTTCAAAGCAAAGGTGTGAAAACAGAACCACAGGGCCTCTTGCAACACAAAACGCCTGGAGCCTCTGCTGGTGCACACAAAATACCAGTTATAAGAGGAACTAGCGACTTGGCTATGAACATGACCAGCCTTTTCCTGGCCCAGCGTCAGAACCCATGTGACCCACGGCAAGCCTGGAAATGGGGCAAAGGTGGGGGTGTCCTAGGCTTGGGAGTAGGAAGGAGCTGGAACCCAAGTAGCACGGAGGGCCCTGTGCATTCCTGTCTCTCCTGTCATTCCTCAAAGACCCCAAGTGGGATAGGGAGAAGAGGCCCCACCCAGAGCCACGGGCTCCTGATGGGTGGGGGTGAGTGGGATCTGCAGCTCCAGGCACTGGAACACACAGCCACAGGTGGGGCAAGAGGACCACAGCTGGTCAGGATGTGGGTGCACAGGGCCAGAGGAGTGGGTCCCCGGCCGCCACCCACCACCCTGCTGCCCACAGGAAAGCCTGCTCCGCGCGCAGCTGCCGTACTTCCTCGAAGGCTTCTTCCAGAAGAATGAGCTAGCGGTCGTGGGCATCATGAACACCATGTCGGAAGCGCTGCACTGCCTGGGCATGCAGGGCGCAGGCGCCTACAGCCTCAATGTCGCCATCAGCATCCACACTTTCTTCGACGACGTAGGCGCAGGGATCAGACGGGCTGGGGTGCCTCCCTCTTTTTTTTTTTTTTTTTTTTTTTTTTCGGAACCGGGGATTATTCTACTGAGCTGTCTTCTCAGCCCCTACCTGTTAACATCAGGCTGCAGGCGACCTTAATGTCCTGCAGGTGGACCAGGTTGGCTGGTTGTCCACCAGATGGCGCTCGGCTCCCTCCTATGCCTGAACACGAACGCATCGCTTTGCTCTGACCCTCAAGTCAAAACTGCGCCAAAAACCTCAGCCTTCGGACTGACGGGTTCTCATTTAAAGGGACTACTTCTCCTTCACTGGGAAATAGGGGGAATAACACACACACACACACACACACACACGCACGCACGCACGCACGCACGCACGCACGCACCCGAGCTGCATTCCTGACAGCTTCAAGCTGTTGTTATGAAATTGATTTTATGTCTCCGAGTTTGACCTGGGACACAGGCTAGGAACTTTATCTGAGGGAGAAGGCCTGGCCCCTCCCTGGAGTCCTGCTTAAGGGACGCGGCTTGGCTCTGTACTGGGAGACAGAGGCCTAGCTAAAGGGCCCTGCGGAGAGAACCCACTGGGCTGGAGCCCCAAGTCGGGTGGGAGCTGGGCTCTGTCTGAGACCTGTCTTGCAGGAGCGGGACCAGATTCGAGCAGCAGCCATGGCACTATTTGGGGAACTCGTGACCTCGATGGCAGGTGGGGAGCTCAGTGACCTTACCCAGGTGTACCAGAGCATGGTGCCCCTGCTCCTGCACCTAAAGGACCAATGCCCAGCTGTCGCCACGGTCAGTGCCCATTGCGACAGGACAGGTTAATAGGGCTTCTCCTTGGCCAGGGGGCTGGGCAGGCAGGTGGCACAGTAAGGGGCTCCCTGAGCCAGCACCGGAACCACAGCCCTTCCCCCACCCTACCCCACCTCCCACCCTACCCTACCCCACCCCACCCTACTCCCCACCACACAGGACTCTGCTGTCCATTCTGCTCACTATTGGGGCCCATCCCAGGCTCAGGCAGGGCTCAGCCACTCCCTAAACTCGCCAGAATGTGGACAGAACTCTCTTTGCCTCATCCATGTGTACCTAGTGCAGAAGCGCTGCACAGGGGCATCTGGGTGGGCAGGAGCATGTCCCCCACAGCACCAGCATGGCAGGCTTCCTCTGATGCTCACCCGAGCCGTGGTCTGTGGATGACCAGGCAGTGGGGAACCACCACCACCCCGCCCCGTGGCTATCTCCACAGCAGGCCAAGTTTGCTTTCTACCGCTGTGCTACCCTGCTACGCTGGCAGCCACGGCACATCCTCTTCTGCATCCTGGCCTGGGAGCGCAGCCTCAGTGCCTGCCACTTCCTCTGGACCTGCCTGGTGAGGGTCAGGGTGTGGTGAAGCCGGGCTGGCTGTATCCTGTTTGTTCTGAAGGCTTTGGAGGGGACATGGATGGAGATGAGTGGTCCCTCTGGGCCTAGCCCCAGACAGTGACAGGTGGCTGTCCCCTCATCAGATGACCCGCAGCCAGGAAGAGTTCAGCATCCACCTGGAACAGGCCCTCAAGTACCTGTACAGCTGCCACCATCACATGAAAACCTGGGCAATAATCTTCATAGGTGGGCAGAGGGAGAACCAAGTTTGGAGACCCACCAGGCCTAGCCTGCCCTATGCCCACCCTGACCCACCCACCAGCAGGAGGAAAAAGAGTGGGTGAAGGGGCTGAGGGCTGAGGAAGAGGGGCCTGGGCCCTCGGAGAGGTCGGAGCTGCTACCCGCTGGCCAGCTGCACCCCATTTCCCGCAGGTTATACCATCTGCTACTTCCCCCAGGCCATGTCCCAGATGGAGAGCACCGGGGACATCGAGATGCTGCTCCACAGTAAGCAGTGTGGCCCCTGCCCCAGGCCCAGCTCAGCATCCTCAGACCATTTCAAAGATGGCAAGACTGAGGCCCCTAGGAGCAGGGCTCTTCCAGCCCCCCAAGCCCAGGGCAGCAACAACACAAGACCCCTGGCCTAAGCAGAAGCATCCCAGAGGCCACCTCGGCACCACCCAATCCCCTCCCCAGGCCTCGCTCTCAGCACCAGAGCATGGGTCAGCCCATTCTTCAGCTCCCGTGAAACAAGGGCCCCACAGCTGCCTTAAGAATGTGGAAGGGAATTCTCTGGGACCTCAGCCAGATGGAATGAGGGGAGCTTCTCCCAGGCCATGGCTACCTCTGACTTAAACCTTCTCTCCTGAAGCTTTGCAAGAACTCGAAAGAGACCCAGATCCCAGCATCCAGGAATTTGCCACCGGGCAGCTCTGCTTCTTGCAGGATGAATCAATCAGATACCAGAAGTGACTTCCTGCTGTCCTTCCACCCTCTCCCTCCTTCCCTCCACCCTCAAAGGCCAGCCTGGCACACAGAGCTTCATTGTATAACTTTTCCATTTGAAAGAAAGGTCTAGATTCAAACAAACAAAAAAAAGCATCACACCTGTCGGCTGCTCACCTTCCACCCTTGGGCCTCACTGTAGGCAAGCCAAGCCATAGAAGACACTGGCAGGAAGGCTAACGGGATAGGGGGCTGCAGAGGCTGTGGTGGGTAGAGCCTGCAAATGGCCTGCCCCTCCTGCCCAGAGATAAGCCCAAGTCCTGGCACTCACAGCTGCAGGGAGCTACTGGCCGGGACCATGGCTCTCAGTCTGCCTCTAGCCTGGGGTTTGGCAGTGGCTGAGGGACCAATGGTGGGGGACAGGCCCCAGCCCAACCTCCCTTCCACCTCCTCCTCCAGTCAGAGCTGGCAGCCGGCCCTCCCAGGTACAAAAGCACTGAATTTGAGCTGCAAGGCCTGAGGCAAGGCCTGGACTATGTGGGCCTCTGATGTTCCATCTAAAAATGCCGTGGCCTTGTAAGAGAAGATGGGGGGGGGGGCTTGCCCTGCCGGGGGCCCAAGGCTCATCCTGAGTCACAGCAGGGGTCTCCCAGGACAATGACAGACCAGCCAGCTTTCCACACAGCATTCTAGCAGGGCCTTCTACTGCCCTTCACTCCTAGGTCCGGATTGCTTTGACAGCTCCTGAGCTCACCTATGCTAGAAACTGCTCCTGCAACACCCCCAGGCCTAGTGGGCAAGCCCAGCCTCTTCAGGCTAAGCACCTTCCTCCCCAGCAGAATCCCAGCCCATCTTCCCTAACTCCAAACCTGTGTGTATCTTGGGGTGGGCCATGCTGCCTGGGGTGCAAGCCCTGGGACTTGGAGGAAGGATTGAAAGAAATACAGTGACCTCCTCCAAATGTGCCTTAGATAGAGTCCATGGGTGTGCTTAAGGAGAGGACAAACTAAACACTGACAGACCTGGTAGACCTGTGCCCAGGAGCCCAGGAGCCCAGGCCAGCTGGCCACGCACAGTCTCCTCCCTCAGTTTTTTCCAGAAGTGGAGCTGCTTGGGGGACTTGGGTAGGAGGGAGGGGTAGTTTGCCTTGTCACAAACCTCACCTGCACCCAACCTCATGGACACCTGTCTTGAAGGCCCCTCTGCTTTACCCTTGGCTGGCGACAGTGGCTTAGATCCAGCCTGGCAGGTGGCAGAGCTGTCTCAGCAGGGTAGCAGTCTCCTCAGGGTGGGTGTGCTAGCTGCCCCACTGGCTGCCCAGAGTCCCCTGCAGTTCCTCTTGCCCTCACTCAGCAAAAGCCTGAGGCTCCCAAGGGGCTTCCTGGAGCCAACACTGACTGGCCACGCCCCTCAGGCTCCAGGAATCTGTCCTCCTCTGAGGACAGGAGATGAGGCAGCAAGGGCTGCTAGCTGAGTTCTGGGGACAGGCAGGTTCGGGGAACTTGGCATACAGCAGGTGCTCTGCCATGGCCCCTGCAGGAATAGCAGCTCAATGCTAGGCCTGGTGGAGCAGGCGGGTCTTCTCCCTCACCGCAGTGCCCTCATTGGGAGTGCAGGAGTCAGGCCCAGGTGGGGGGCGCTGCCTTGGCGGAATAAGCTTCTGGTAGGGGCTCACCACGGAGCTCATGGACAAGCTCGCCCTCCTGGAAGAGCAGAGAAAGTGATCTCGGGGGCCAACTGAGCTCTCCTAAGACCCTTCAGAGTAGGTGTAGTGTGGGAGGAGAACAGGCTAGGCAGGGTTCTGGGGAGAGAACGGCCACAGGGTAGGTGGCAGATGCAGACAGGCAGTGATCTGGGTCCCTTCTGGGGCTGAAGCACCAGCCTAGGCGTTGGCCAAGGGGATGGGTCAATGAAGGCCTGTGGGCGGGTGTCAATGGCTCAGGCCTCGGGGCAACAACGCTGCCAGCCCCTCTATACTCAGCCAGGCCAGCCCTGGGCCCACGCTCCCAGTCCTGCCCCTGCTCGCCTACATCCTTCCTCCATAGGCAGGCAGCCCCCAGATTAGGTACCTATACCCAGAAGCAGGAAGCAGTGTGAGCCCGGCCCTTGGGCAGCCTCTCTACACGCACATCCTTCCATGTGCCCACAGCCAGGCAGAAAGCATTTGCCTTCCTCAGCTCTAAGCCACTGGTGGCCTCCGTACCTGAAGCTCACCCCACCACTTGCTGGGACCCTTCCCTGGGCCTTCAAGGCTGAGATGCAAGCCCTGCTGGAGCCTTCCCCACTTTGAGGACCCAAAGCCCCAAAATTGCCACAGGAACTCACCCTGACTTGCAGAGCAGCAATGCTGGTAACCCAGCCTCACCCCCTAAGGTCCCAACCTGCAACCCAATAGTGGCCCAGTTCCACGTGGGTATGTCGGAGATACAAACCCAAACTGGAGCACAGGACCCCCATATGGCCACCAGGGGGCACCACAGGACCATGCTGGAACCCCAGCCTATGGGGAGCATAGGCTTCAGTTGCCTCCCAGCAACCACAGACCCCAAAGCCACAGTCCACGCCACCTGGCCCTGCACACACTCCCCACACACAATCACGGTTCCTGTTTTATTGCCTTTGAGTGTCCAGAGCATCTGACTGCTCCGGGATCCAATAATTTAAGGTGCCAAGAACAGCAGAGGATAAGGGGCCGCCACTGAGGGGCTGGGCCCAGTGGTTAAAAATACACCCACCGCCATGTCCAGGTGAGAGAAGAAACCTGTGGTAGGGGTGGGCTTGTTGAAGGTCGCTGGCAGAAGGTCCGGAGATGGGGGATGACCAGTCTGGGAGCCACGTGCCCAAGACACGGAACATACAGCTACCTGACTCCTGGGACACAGGGGGGCCGAGGCACAGGAAGACAGGCCCACGTAGGTCAGCCAGGACAGGAAGAGCAAACCATGAGAGGCCCCAGGCCTGGCCAAAGCCTGAGCTACATGATGCAGCATTTGGTCTTGTGTGTGTTCGGGTCTTTGAACCGCAGTCTCTGTTTGGGCCGGTATTTCTCCAGGTAGGTGAGCTGCTTGCTGTTAATGGCGCCACGACGCTTCCTGGGGAGATGGGGTCAGTCAGAAAGTCACCCAGGCTCTGGCATGGCCAACTGTCCACCCCACACATACACAGAGCAAATGGGCTGCAGCTTCTCCTCGTGGCCAGTAGAACTCGGCCTGCCCTGCCTGGCACAGCCTTAGGCTGCAGGACCCACAAGCAGAGGTATACTGCAGAGGGTACCACCAACTCAAAGGCCTGGCGCACTCTGTGCAACCAGTCCTGCCCAGGACTACATCCCAGAGCCTGGAGAGAGAAAGGATGAGTGCACCCACGTGTGTACTGCTATGCTTGTGCATGTGCCCAAGTACAAGAACACACGTGTCCTGGTATGACATGTGTTTGAAGGTGTGCATGTGTCTGGGTATCCACGCCCCCATGTGCATGTTACCCAGGCCCACTCAAGATACTTGCAGCTGCAGGTATGATCATGTCAAGAGGCAAGCTAGTGAAAAGCATGCCTCGGGAAGATGCTGAGTCCTGGCAGAGGCTGTCTCAGGGCAGCGCCAGAGTGCACCCAACAAGAGAGTGTGTGTGTGTGTGTGTGTGTGTGTGTGTGTGTGTGTGTGTGTGTGTGAAACTTGTGTGTGCACACTACACAGGTGGGGGGAAGGGACAAGATCAGGCTGAGCTGGCAGATGGGAGTCCTCCCCAGGGAGGCCACCCAGTGACTAGAAGGCAGCTGGCTAGAAACCTCCAAGGAGAGCAGCAAAGGGCCTCGCCAGGAACAACAGGCTGGAAGGCAGCCAGGCCCTGGTGCTAGCTAGCACCCGGTGCATAGAGACGACACTGGGAGGCTCAGATTCCTGCCTCCCACTGAGAGCCTGGACCATATCCAAGATCCTCAACAGGTGCTGGATCTAGGGTGTGTGACACCAGATTAAGGGGCGTGGTATTAAATTAGCCTGCTGATTGGAATTAGCATAGTTCTGCTTGAGGCTGAACGGACTGACTAATGGCAGATGCCTCACCCGGGTAGCGCCGCCCAGAGGCAGGCTGCTGATGCCTGCTGCTTGTTGCTTTCTGCCTGCCACACCATGAACTATTTCACCTCTGTGATGGCCCTCTGCCACACCACCCTGCATTGGAGCCAGCTGACTTATACACTGAAACCTCTATAAACAGAGCTAAATTAAACCTTTCCTCCTTTAACTCTGGGTGGTGAACACTTTGTTTCAGCAATGAGAAGACAACACCGGGGCATGCCGCAGAAGGTCCTGGCTGCTCCTTTGGCCAGCTGCAGAGGTGGAGCACAGTCATCCTGCACCCCTGCTGCTGCTGGCTCTTGGCTCTTGACTGTCCCAAGGCTGGTCCAGCCCTGCTGCCACATGTAGCCTCAGACCAAGGGAATCACATGAGCAAAGAGAAGACCTGTGGTACGGGTGGGGTTGTGGGAGGTCACTGCACTACCAGAGTGGGGGGTGTGAGGAGAGGCCACAGTGCCATCCCAGGCCCCCAAGCACTTGCCCACTCAGCCCCACAGCTGGCCACTCACTGCCGGATGAACTGGATGGCATCCTCATACTTCATCCCACTCTCGATGAGGGCCAGTGCCACCAGGACTGGAGCGCTGTAAACAGACAACAGGGCTGGGGTAACCTGAGCCTCTATGCCCTAGCCCTCCCCTGATATGCTCCCTACTGAGGATGAAGGGGATGGGGAGCATTCACAGGGGCCAGACCCACTCCAGTCCTCTCAGCTCCCCTGGGAAGGGCACAGAGCTGGAGACCAGCCCAGTGAATCACCTGGGACCAGATCCTGACTCTCCTAAGCTTCCTGTGCAACCCCAGGGGGGCTGGACTGCCTCTCAGTGTCTCACGGGTAAAATGCATCACAGAGAAACTAAGGCACATAGATGAAGGCCTTAGCTCAGGTCTGTCCCAGGCTGAGGGCTCAGTATAGGCTGGCTGTGAACGCCATGCTCCACTGCTCAGGTCCTTTCAGTGAGGTCCAAGCTGCTGATCCTTCTCTGAGCAGAGATGCATTCATGGTCCAGCTCACAGGGGCGCCCTTGTGTCTTTGGAGGAGTACAGGGCAGCAACCACTGCAGGAAGGAGTCAGGTCAGACTTCGGGAAGGACTTCCTGCCTGCCAGGCCATTAGAGGGTTTGTCAGGGGAGCCTCGCCTTTGGGGAGTCGGGCCTCTGGGGTGATCATGTGGGTGTGGCCCAAGCTGGGAAGTGAGAGTGTCCCGCCTGACTATCAGACCCCAAGCTCCAAGAGAGCTTCCAGCAATGGCAGCACCCGAGGTCTACAGCCCCATCTCTCCACTGTTCCCCTGTTTCCCCCACTTCCACCTGTTCCCCTGACTCACCGTCCCAGGCCTGCCACACAGTGCACAGCCACGCAGCTTCCAGGGTCATCGCAGAACTTGGCCTTCAGCAGGCTCAGCCAGTCCTCTACCACCTTGCTGGGTGGGGGGGCCCCATCGTCAAATGGCCAGTCCTGTGGGTGAACCAGCCTATGAGGACCCAACCTGTAGGAGTTGGCATGGCTACCCTGCCACCCTGTGCCTGCTGGGAGGGGAGGAGAATGCCAGGAGCTAGCGAGAGGGCTAGCTGGGCTATGGGCACCTTGACGCTCTGATCCTGCCTGCTTCACCTCGGTCCTCCCGGGTGCCTTCCCGAATCACCCCATCCTTTCTGAGTACAAGCCTCTGGAATGCCCCCATGCACCCTCTACACCCTTCTATCAGCACAAGAAGTGGTCCTTCCCACTCAAATACCAGTGGCTGGCCTGAGGGGACCTGTCCCCTGCAGTAACGAACAAGACTGCAACCCTATGAATGCTGTATCCCCAGCCCCCTGGGCTGCCACACAGGCCAGGTACAACAAAGTAAAGACAGGGCTGTGGGTGAGGCCCCATTTCTGGGAGTTGGGCTCGGCACAGCAGCTAGACCCAAATGGGGAGGTGAAGCCATTCTCCATCAGAGGCAGCCAGCCCAGGGTGCACTGCAGGGGACAAGACAATCATATATTGGTAAGACACGTGCATGAGGGACTGCCCCAGGATTGGCATGGATTGCTATGGGGCGAATGCTCGGGGGCCCATGGGTGTTGCCTTTAATCTAACCCCCATCCCTCTGCTTGCTGGGGAAGGGCAGGAGGGGCTGCTGATGCCCTGTGCCGAGACGTGCTTCCATGCCTTTGTCTCGAATCCTCCCAAGCAACTACCAGGTAAGAACCCTGAGGCTCAGAGTGACCTGTGAGGTCCACAGATGGAAAGAGGCAATGGTGGGATTCAGCCTAGGCCTTCCTGACCCCAAAAGACAGGTTCTTCCTACACACACTCCAATGCCCAGGCAGTGCTGCTATGCACAGTTACAGCTGTGGACAAGGAGGACACAGAGAACCACACGCCCCACTGCCTAGGGTGCAAAGTCCTTGTGCCAGGGCTCGGGGGACCTCATAGGGCTGGCTCTGGGGCTCCAGGCACTGTGGCCCAACCCGAAGGCTCATGGCCACGGAGCTACCCCACCCTCCACCTGCACTGGATCTGTAGGGCTGTGGGAACCAAGGAAGCAGCCCCCAGGGCCCCCCACAGCCTCCACAGCCTACCACAGCCAGAGCTCCAGACAGGAAGTGGTAAGAGGCCTGCCGAGACAAGCAAGGCCCCTGGGAAGGCTGTGATCCCCACCTGGCGGGCTGATGGGCTCAGGCGACCCCCATGACAAGCACACCTGGCAGGCAGGGCCAGGTCATTATGTGAGAGCCATGCTTCAAGGGGCCCTCATTCCCTGGTTATGTGGCCTCAGATCATATGGACCCCACACTTTGCTTTCCCTAAGATGGGACTATGTAAAGGGCTCCAGGCTGCCATAAGACTGGGATCTGGTGGCACCTGGTAGAATACAGACATGCCCCACCCCTAACACATAAGAGGACCCAACCACAGGAGCCACGGCTTCAACCAACAAACTTGAACCCTGCCTTGTGGCCCAAGTCCGAGAAAAGAATTCAGGAGGGGTGACTTTCTCTTGGTTACATGTCCCCATCTCTGGCCTCCTCCAGGTGCCCACATGCCTATGGCCCGTCAGACACCCAGGTGACCCCAGAGAGGCCCATGTGCCTCTCTCAGCAACAAATATCCACCCCTAGCTGAGCCCTGCCCCCAGGGCAGTCACAGTGTCCCCGTGCCCCCTCACCACAACAGTGATGCCGTCCTTCTCCAACGGGGCCTTGTCATAGGTCACCTCGCACACTCGCACCACTGTGGTGGCTCCATACTTCTTCAGATCCTGGCAGGGTGTGAAGGAGCAGGTTGGGCAGGGGCTGGGGGGCTCAGAACCAAACCCCTGGCTAGGACATAGCAGAATGCCTCAGGCCCAGGGGAGGGCTGCATCCCCCTTGACACCCCTCCAGGGCTGTGTCCCCATAGCAAGACAGCATAGATTCAGGCCCAGTGACTGGCAGATGGTGTCGCCTAATATCTCAGGTGCCTTGTCCTCAGCTACTAAAGACAGGCAGGAACCCCCACCTTTGTCTACCATAATCCACACTCAACCACTCAGTCAGCCCACTGCACATCACCTCTAGCTGCTGCACTGCCCAGTACCCCAACTCTTACCAGCAGGGTCAATTTACTAGACAAAGCCCCTTGTGTCCCAGCAGGCAGGGCCCCCTCCTTCTTCGGCTGCCTGAATGGGTCTCTTAAGGGGCAGGTCCCATAAGCAGGAGGCCTCAGGGCAGCAGGGAAGCCAGAGTAGGGTGCTGACACCCAGAGGGAAACCCCACGCTGACCAGTCAAAAGGTCATCAAGCTCACAGCCAGATAAGGGATATTTATACCCAGGCACGGGCAGGGCCAGCACCACCCCCACCTGCTCCTAACAGATATTCTGGGAATGGTGAGGGATCACTGGGGCCTACTGGCCATGCAACAGGGGCACCAGCCACACAGAAACCAGGATCTAAGTATTCTGAGAATGCAGGGAGTGAGAGGGGGGTGCCCACCTCTGGGGCCACAGGATACTTCAGAATTCCTCTGTGCCTTCAGTGGAGGAAGCTGCTATCCTGCTCAGCACTGAGCCCTGACCCTACCACATACTGAGCCCTTATCCTGCACATGCTGAGCCCTGATCCCTCTGGGCCCTGATCCTCGTCATTCTCTGGACCGTGTGCCTGGCTCCGCACTGAGCCCTCATCCTGCACACACTGAGCCCTTCACCTGGTTATACCCTAAGCCCTAGCCCCAGCCACACACAGTGCTGTGCTTGCCAGTCCTTCCCACAGTCCTGCTGTTATCTCAAGGGTCTCTCAGCTGTAGGGGGCAGTCACCCTCAGTAGGGCACTGGGCTCAGGGTCCAGAGTCCAGGCTCCCTGTACAATTCCCCACCCATACCCTCTCACACCCACATGCCCATCCTCATTTGACTACGACAAGCCCGCAACAACTCATCTCACATCAGGGAAGGGAGAGCTGAGATGGGGCTTCAAAATGCCTCATGTAACAGGTTCAGTAATTAGCCCACATACAGCCGCCAGCCCTGCAAATGGCCCTGGGTCTGCAAACACTGACAGCTCTAGTGGTCCATTCCCATCACAGACTCTAATACACCTGGCCACAAGTGTGGGGGTCTCAGGCAGCAGGCCTCTGCGTGCCACCCCTCGAGAGCTCAGTGGTCACTCCCTCCTGTGTCATCCCATGACACAGAGTCCTCACCTCTCCACCCACCCGGATTTACACAGACGCAAGTGTCATTGCTCACATGCTGGCCCCAGCAAACCTACTGGATCCTGAGACTCCCCCCAAACATCTCCCTGTACCCCTTCTAGGACCTTGCAACAGGTGCCTGGACTCAGCTGCACGGAGAGGACTGTGTGTGGACAGCTGTGCCTCCCTTCACCAGCTCAGGCCTGTACCTGCTCACCAGGTTTCCTGGGCCCTCTGCCTGCCACCCGCCCAGCCCACTCACCTCCATGAAGGTGCTGAGGGTAGCATCGGTGGGGTTGTGCGTGATGAGGAAGCGCATGTTGCGGTAGCTCACCTCCACCGGGGCAGGCCGGTTCATTCGCGCCATGTCTCCCGAGGGTGGAAGACAGGGCAGGAGGGGGCTGAGAGAGGGCTGGGGATGCAGCCAGAGGAGCCAAACCAGCGTCAGAAAACCAAGTAGAGTAATATCCTTGTACTTGTCTGAGAAAAAGACTTTCTAAAACCCACCCCTACACCCTGCACAAATATTGTACAAGTGCTTAAGAAAGGAAAAGAAAGCTGTTCAACGTTTGATAATTAAAAAAGAAAACCCAACCCTACCCCCCAAAAAAGTAGTAAAACAGTCCCCCAAAGTAAGATGGTCAATTCCAAAATCCCGTCTCTCCAGCTGGCTGAGTACAAAGGGGATAACAACAACCCAAAAATTCAGCAAAGAACATCTAAAAATCCCCAAGTGAATGTGGCCACCACACAGTGTCTAGGGTGGGTCCTTCACTGGGGAAGGACCCCCTTTGCTCTAAAGTGGGCTCCAAACCCCCAAGGCCTTGAGGAAAACTGGACTGGAACAGATTCTGGTTGCTGTGGGGCAGAGGTCACAGTTGTGGCAGGCAGGAGGTCTCTGATGCATAGGCCCTTGGTCACGCTACCCCATTGGTGTATGGCAAGTCCTGGAGGGTGGACGGGGACTCAGTCAGAAGAGCTGACACCAGGCCTGGCAGCAGAGGCCATCAGCAGGCGCAGGTGATAGGGAGGGCCAGAGATGTGTGGCTTCCTTAGCAGCAGGCCTGGGGCAATGTTGGGCAGCACAGCAGTGCTCAGGGTTGGCCCACAAGGGCCACTCCATCGATGGCAGGCTGGTCTTCAGAAGGCAACATCTGGGGGAGGAGAAGGAAATGAATGGCCCTGCTTCTGCCTCAGTCTCCCTATGTGAAAACCCAAGAAAGAACAGAGCTGGCCCAGGGCCCTAAGGACAAAGGACATGCAGGCACAGTCACCAGGATGGGTGAGGAACACAGGAAGAAGATGCCAGACACACCCCATCCAGCATGCTGAACCCCAACAAGACTCCAGGTCTACCTGCCTGAGTCACCAGATAGCCCACTCTACACACATTCTCAGAACAGTTGCTTTCCTCAGGCTTACTGGCCACTGAGGAATGGCAGGGCCCAGATCCCCATGGACAGCCCACCCTCAGGGAAACCGCTAAGGACAGGGTGACAGCTACCCAGCTGAGAACCACTATAACTTCCCCATCCTGGCCTCTGCCCCTGGCCCTGATTACTCACAGGCTAGCCAAGCAGGGAGGAAAACAAGCTGCCTTGCCCTTTAGGAGCTCGGAGTGGACCAGCTGCCAGGCACATGCCAGGGTGGTGACAGCACAGGTGGCCTGGAGTGAGGTCTAACCATGACAGGGCCTTGAAGAAGGACACTGCTTGGGGTCATAAAGTCAGCCCCTGGTACATCTACTCCTTGCCTCTCTTTTTCTGCAGATCAAACTGCTCCTAAGGTCCCCAGAAGCACCAGCCCACTCCTCACAGAGGGGCAAACGGACCCTGGACATGTGACTGGCCTTTGAGGCCTCCGTTTCCCTATCTGCACAACGGTGAAACACGACGCTTCCAGGGTCCCTCCACTGTGCCTCAGTGGTTAGCAGATCCTTCCGGCCAGGGCTTCAGCCCAGCCTCCATTTCTCATCACTCCTGTGTGTCCACACCCCTGTCTCCTCTACCCAAGGAAAAGACCCTGCACCTCGCAGCCTTCCATTGCTCCCCTGCCCTCCAGCTCTTACCTCTTTCCCTGCCTCAGCACCCTTTTCTCCAACTGCCCACCCAGTAGCTGGGTCCCCAGAGCCACAGCCAAGGGGAGGAAGGGCGATGGTGGGACCCTGGACTCAGAGGCACCACTGCTGGCCTTGAGCATTGGACACAGATCTCGCTGTCCCAGCTCTGGCTGCGAGGGAGGTACGGACTCTTCAGCCTGCTCTCCATATCAAGGCAGGATTGCTGCTCCCAGGATCAGGGCAGGGGTTGCAGCCCCATGCCAGCCTCAACCACCACAGCAGGAATACCGCAGATAGGAGGGAAAAGCAGAAGGAAGACGGCTTCTCCCGGGCTTAGCCACCCGGGTCCCTAACCTGTGCCCACTACGCAACCACCTCAGTGCAATGAGGAAAGCCGCCCTAAGCTAATAGCACACATGCACCTGGGGGCCTTGGGGGACGCATGTGTGCGCGCACACACTGGAGCCAGGCTCGTGTTTATAAAGGTAAAGGAGAGAAAAGGCCCAATATTGCTACGGGACTCCGGAGCCTCTTTTAAGAGGCTGACCCCATCATCTACAGGGCCTGAAGACCTGATAACCCAGGGTTGCAGCACACAGCCTGTTCTGCTACCCAGTACTAGAGGAGGGCACCTCCTGGCTGAGAGCTGGAGAGCCACCAGGCAGAGGGGGCCTGAGTCATCCCATACTGCTCTCGTGGGGACCCATAGTTATCAGAAGCCTGCAAGGAGCTGGGGTGAGACTGGGCTGGGTCAGCAGCAACATCAGAGCCTAGGCTAGACTGAGTCTAGGTTGGAGCAAGTCTGGTCTTTTGACACTTCCCACCACTTGCCTTGCCTCTGCCACTTGCCTTTTCCCAGGAATCCAAACCAGGGATGTGAGGCCCTCCTACCCTAGAACTCCCCCTGTGCTTCAGCCCTGCCTGCAGCTGGCCCATGGGTAAGAGCCTCCTCTCTAAAATATCCCCAAGTGAGGTCAACAAAAAGCCCAGAGATGCAGGCCTGAAAAGCCTCCAGCTACAGGGAGAGGCCAAGCCCCTGCTATCAGAGCCCTGCACCCAACCCTAGATAGGGCAGACCCAAGACCCATGGTCCCCACCTGCCATCCCTGAATCCCACGCCAGGCTGCCCCACCTTCGCCCTCAGGCAGTAAGGACTCCCCATGGCCCAATTCTAGACTCCCCATCTGTAGCACAAGCACAGGCTACCTGCCCACCCTCTACTGTGTGCTTTTTCTGGCCCAGCCTCCATGCCCACTACCTATGCCACCCTACTTGGCTTAAGCTCCTCCTTCCCTCTGGCCCGCCCCTTCCTGGGATCCTGGCCCAGCCTTCTCTGGCCAGTGCTCCAGCCCTCTGCTTTCTGCAGAACCGCTCCTTTTCAAAAACCCTTTAAGGGAGTCCCATCTCTCCCTTTGCCAGATGAGGAAACAGGCCAGGGAGAGACAAAAAGACATTCTCTGGTCTTCAGCCAGACCCTGTGTGCGCGAAGTGGGTTTTCTCAACCCCAAGTCTAAGGCAGCAAGAACAACATTGAATCACAGCATGAAGAAAAGGAGTCTGAGGCTGGGGAAGCACAGCTAGTTCGGGAGTTTGAATCACCCGGACTTCAGAAAGGAAGGGCTCCTTCTAAACAGGGGACCCTCTGATCCTGGAGGAGGCATCTGGAGCCTTAGGCTCGGTGTTTTCCCAGGAGACGCAGGACTGTGATCTGTGGGCTGAGTCCCAGAAGCCACTGAGGATTTGAATGTAGTGAGGGACTCGCGGGCTCGTCCCACCCGCTCACCAGGTTGCCACCTCCCGGGGGCGGGGCCGGGGTTCCCCCCAGAGGGTCCGGAGGGTCCCGCCGCTCCCCCGCCTGGCTCACCCGCGCCCGAGGGCTCGCCGCCGCCTCCATGCGCCTGCCCGGCGGGCCGCGCTGCGCCCGAGACCCGGGCGCGCCCTCCCGCAGCGCCAGCTCTGCCGATCCCGGCCGGGCTGGCTATTTATAGCGCCCGGCGTCACGTGGGGGGCGGTGACCGGCCAGCGACCAGGATAGCGGGCTCGGCACCTGCCGCCTAAAGATAGCCGCGCCCGGCCCGCGGGAAACAAAGGGCGGCTGCAAGCTGGCGAGGAAGAGGAAGCGCGGCAGGCGCAGGAAGGGGAGCGGCCGCCGGGCCTCAGCGGGCGCGCTGACCACCGGGCCGGCTGCCGGGCCGAGCGGAAGGAAGGGCTCTCGCCCCAGAGAGGAGGGCGGCCAGAGGCCACGCAGCCGGGCGAGCACAGGAATCGCCCAGCCTGCAGTCCCTGCCGGGCTGGGCAGCCCAACGGCAAGGTTGCCTCTGTTTTCCCAGCGGCACACACTGTCTGCCGCCTCCTTGTCTGATCCTCATGACACCCTGGGGTGGCTGCTCTTAACCTCCCAACAGACAGCTCGGGAAACTGAAGCACTGGATCTCAGGCTGCAGAACCAGGCAGGAGTCACCCCAGGAGCTGCCACCACCCCCTCCTGCGTACTGTCCTACCCCATGAAGCCCTGCAGCGCCCCCACCAGACTCTACCCTGGGTTCCTGATATGGTGTATGTTCCCCAGGCTGCGAGCTCCAGTGGGACCTGGTGTCACCCCCACACCTGCCTTGGCCTCAGAGGCTCCAAGTGGGATACCCCGGACTCTTAGAGTCCCTTGTGCACTAGGTCCCGTGGGGCCTCGCCCTGCTGGGAACTTAGCTCTGAGCCCAGCTCCCAGTCAGACAGCCTGGCCCCTGCAATCAGCGGTCAACACAGGGAAGGGGTGGGCCGGGAAAGCTGGCCCGGGGCCCAGCAGAAAACACCCACACACACATTCTCCCCTAGAGAGCACCCTGGGTAGCCCAACCTGGCACAGCCATGTGGTCTCCCCTTGCCTCCTGCCACACCTCAGAGGCTGTGCTCAGAGGGGAAGGGCTCACAAGGGTTTGCCCCTCCAAGCCAGGCAGCCCTGGAACACTCACAGTGCACTTCCTGGCCAGGCCTTACCCTAGTAGTCAGTACTGAGGCATGCCTTGGCTCTTACCTGTTCCAGCAGCATCTCAGAGGCCAAGGAACGGCAGATCAGTGCTGGCACCCACTACCCCACCCCTCTCCACCCAGACCACCTTGGTGGGACACCGTTCAGGTGGGCTGCTGCCCCACCAACCAGACCCCAACCTCGGTCACACTGTACTGATAACGTCCAGAGCTGGACCCAGTGGTACATACTTAGAGTTCCAGTAGTCTAGGAGGCTGAGGTAGGAGCATTGTAAGTTCAAGCCCAGCCTGGACAACTTAGTAAACAGTGAGACCATGTCTCAAAATAAAATTTAATTTAAAAGCGCTAAGGACATAACTCAGTGAAAAAGCTTTGGGTTCAATTCAAGTCGCCCAGTGAAGAACAGAAGAGACAGAGCGGGAGGTAGACCCGCTGAGCCTCAGAGAACCAGTTCATCTCTACCCCAGCCCCTTTGCCACCCAGCCTCAGTTTCCTTACCCACAAAAGGGGTCCCTTAGAGATCTTGGCAAGTTCTGGGACCTGAAAAGTTCTAGGGCCTGGGACCTGGGACAAGGACCCAGCACCCACCATGCTGTGGAGGTTGTACACATGGCCTGCCTGCCCCCCACCTTGGGCCCACTCTCTCTTGGGCCCTCTAGCCAGGCTTGGGGGCACCTGCTGCAGCTGGCGGAGCCCCCAGCCTTTCGGAGAAATCTATTTATACCACAGCAGGAGTCTTTCCTGGAGCCCTGCCAGAGCCTGCTAGGTTCAGGGGAAGGCCAGAGTTCCAAGCCCACGCCACGCCCCAGGACATCACCCCCAGCCCCCATGCCCCTGCCCCAAAGTTCCAAGAGCTCTGCCCTTGCCCCTCCCTGTGCTGGCTGCCCTCCTCCGCGGGGCCCCAGGGAAGCTATCCTAACTTGGGGAAGGTGAAGCCTCTGGCTCTACCCCACCTCCCACACAGGCACCAGGAGGGCCCCACTTGTTTGTGGAAAGAACAAATGACCCAACGATCTGGGCAGCGGTCCAGACCTGAGAAACATCCAGAACCTACTGTGCCGGGTACTTTTCTCTCATTGCTGAGACAAAATGCCCGACACTCAAATTAAGGAAGGAAAGGTTTATTTGTAGAGGTTTCGGTCTGTAATCAGCTGGCTCCAAAGCAGGCTGGCATGGCGCAGGGCAACAGTTGGAGGCAACAGAAGGCAGCAAAAGCATCAAGAGCAAAAGGCAGGGAAGAGCATGGCTCTTCCCTCCCTCATATGCACGCTGCCTCCCGCTAGGGCAGGTGTGTGTAGCATTCACCCCATTTCCATGCCCTCCTCTCGCACAGATGTGGATGTCTACAGTGAGGATCTGGCCCTCTGCTGATTGGCTTAAACTTCTAAACTACTCAAGTTGACAAAATGCATCAACCATTATACCCACCATGGGATCTCAGCCCTTGAGGCCTACAGGAACCTCAAGGTCACCCATGCCATCTAATCCCCAGCAAAATCACACTCCTCCAATGATGGGGAGCTCATTACTCATGGGCAGCCCATGTGTTTTCTGCTTCAGTAACCCCCCCCCCAAGTTATAAGTTCCTTTCTCTAGGACTTACAGGGAACCCACGGCTGGGGGTTGCAGACCAGCATGAAAGCCTTCAAGCAGAAGGCCCAGGTAGCAGGTGAGCTGGAGTAACTGGCCAGAGGGTAGATGGCTCTGGTCCTGATCCCTAGGGTCATGTCATCCAGGCACAACCTGGACCTACCACTAGTCCTGCCCGGACTCAAGGTGTCCTCTATAAACGGAGATGTTGCCAGGGAGGGAAGCCACCTTATGAGGAGGAGCCAGCTCGAAGCTGGTCATGTGGTCTGGGTTGTTCCCTGGAAGCAGAGGTGTTGGGGACAAGCTTTGGTTTCCACCATATGGCACCTGTTCTCTCTGCTGAGGACCTCGAGACAGATCAGATGGCTGCAAGGGTGCTCCGCTCGAGCAGCCTCACCATCACACACACACACACACACACACACACACACACACCCCAGTGCTCTGCAGGGCGTGGCACCAACCTGCCAAACCTACACCTCCCAAGACCACCCTCACCTACTTTGTAGCACAAAAACATAGATAATTGTTTTAAAAGACTCTAGTAGGTATGGAAAGAAGAGAGTCAAGTACAAATAGTAACACCAAAAATAGTTAAGAACAAGATTATTACGAACAATAAAACATGATAAATGATTTTGCTAAGAAAAAAACTACTTTCCTTATAAAAAGAACTCACTCTGCCCAAATGGCGGCCTAGAAAAACTGTACCAGAAGCGTGGAGTGCTGTGTAAACCGGACTTCCTTCAGAAAGCACTTACTGCACTGTGCAAGCAGGCAGCGCTGCTTATATAACCCTACCCGTGCACTTGTCAACACTGCCTCATGGCTGCAGAAAGCAGCGACAGAATAGCAAGCAAAGCACGGCGTAAGTCAGAGCCCTATTTTTCTAACCATAGCCTACTTCTGTACTTCAGACTTAGCCTCCAGTTGCTTGTACAGAACAACAGAGAATTATGTGAAGGGAAGAGAGTGAAGCTGCCCATACAAGAAGCCACCAGCACGGCCTGCGCAGGCCACCACTCTCCTGCAGACCCGACAGCTACAGTTTCTTCTGGGGGCCAGTGGGTAGATGGACACTGTTGTGATGGCTGAGGACACTAGCTCCACCCCAGCTGCTACTAGGCTAGCACAGGGCTCTGGGGCCGGCAGCTGGGTGCCTCCCAGGGACCATGCCTCTGCCGCATGAGAGGCCTCGAGCCCCACTAGGACTCAAATCCTGAGCCATCTGGCCTTCAGCAGCACAGGTGAGCCTGACCCCCAGCAGGCACTCACCCGCCAGGATGTCCCACCCCAACAATCTGCCCTTTGCCTGGCCCTAGGCTGAGCATTGCCAGGCGTCGTCTTCTCCCTGAATCCCTCTGTGATCTCCCCTTCTCCCATCCCAGGCCTCAGACTCCCACAAGGTGGAGAACACTCAGCATTCAATCACTGCCTCCCTCATCTCATCTGACCAGTGTGTGTGGGCACCTTCAGGTGCCGGGTGCTGGGAGGGCTGACAAATGCCAGGGAAGAAATGGACAGGGCAAGCAGTCTCCAGAGCCCTTCTACACCCACCCATGCAGCAGAGACCAAGGTCCCAGAAAGCCCTGATTTACATGAGGCCAAGCAGATGGGCCTGAGTCCTGGGGCTGTCCCAAACCTGGCTTCTTTTCTTCTCCTCCCCAGTTGAATCTCATGGGCCTCTTCTACTCAGAGTCCAGAACCTGGCAGGATTCAAACACAAAATAGACCTGCACAGCAGCCGGGGTGCATGGCAAGAACCATGGGACAGGTAACCAGCCGCTGTACCCAGGAGCCTCTCAGGAAGTCCTGATTGCACACAATCAGGACCAACCTAAAGCCCAGGCTTTCACAGAACCTACTACACGCAAGGTAGCAACACATGGCCATCTAAGCTACCTCAAAGTAATGCTACACATTAATAATGATAGCCTCCATTTACACAGCATCCACTTCTCCACAGAGCCCTGGGCCAACAGGTCCTAGGGCTCCTCTATCCATCAGCTGGGGCCAACAGTCTGCTCTGCACTGAGTTGTTCTGCGCAGGACGGCTCACCGTTCTCACAGTGCCGCAGGGTTCAGGATCAGGGTCAAGGTCAGGGGACGCTGGAGGCCACAACCCTGCTGCTGAGGGACTCAAATTCTTCTCCCATAATGGCTATGCCAACTTCAACTCCAAGCCAGTTCAGTGTGCAGTACCCCAAGGGTCAGGTGACCCAGGACAGCCCTGACCTGTCAACTATCCTAACGTCACAGTTCACAGCACCTCCTCTAGGAAAAGGACCAGTGACAATGGATAAACCACCCAGTTACTATATGACCACCTTGTTTAACAAAACAAGATACAGGTAGAGCAGTCATGAACTATCCATGGCAGAAATCAGGCTGGACCCGAC